TACCGGAATGTTACATTGAATTGATCAAGGCATTGGTAGAAACAGAGGATGGAGAATATATTATCGAGGAGAGCAGCAAAATGTTTCAAACAAATGGACTTCGTCTAGCAAGAAGCTTGATCAATGTTATAAATAGGGAAACACACATCTGGATAACTAATCCGTATCCTCGACCGTTAAAAATAATGAAAAACCAAACATTGGCTTTTGGAAGTAGTCCAGCGAAAATAAATGTGAGTCGAGAAAGAGAGGTAGAAAAGAACGAAGAACCTAGATTCCAAATAAACGAAAATCTTTCACCAAAGGAACAGAAGGAGTTAAAACAAGTTTTAGAAAGGTATGGAGATCTTTTTTCATCGAGATTAGGGAGAACCAATTTGGCAAAACATCGGATAGACACAGAAGACGCGAAGCCAATTAAACACAAGCCTTACCGGGTAAGTGCTAAAGAACGAGATATTATAAAAGAGCAAATTGACGAGATGCTTACAGAAGGCATAATTAGGCCATCTTCTAGCCCCTGGTCTTTTCCAGTAATATTGGTCAAGAAGCGAGATGGTAAATACAGATTTTGTGTGGACTACAGAAAACTGAATAATGTGACAGTAAAAGATGTCTATCAGATCCCTAGAATAGACGAAGTTATGGATACTCTCCAAGGATCTACACACTTCTCAGCAATAGACCTCAGATCTGGATATTGGCAAGTTGAAGTCGAAGAAAGAGACAAAGAGAAAACAGCTTTCACTACAGCGCATGGATTATATGAATTCAACGTGATGCCTTTTGGACTTTGTAACGCGCCTGCTACCTTTGAGAGAAATATGGAGAATATGCTTGGAAATCTGAGATGGCAAATTTGTTTGTGTTATCTGGATGATGTTATCATATATAGCCCGGATTTTCCAACGCACCTCAAAAGACTTGAAGCTGTTTTTAGATGTTTTCGTGAATCTAATTTAAGGTTAAACGACAAAAAATGCCGATTTGCTTTTGAAGAATTGGAGATTCTCGGCTATATAACGAGCAAACATGGTATAAAACCCGCGGAACATAACATCAAAGCTGTCAGAAATTTTCCTCGGCCCAAAAAGGTCAAAGAAGTACAATCCTTTTTGGGAATGTGTTTATATTATAGAAAATTTATCAAAGACTTTTCAAAAATTGCTGACCCTTTGACCAACCTTATAAAAAAAGTGTATCATTTACCTGGACAGAAAGACAAGAGAAAGCGTTTCAAACCCTAAAAACAGCACTATTAAGTCCACCAATTTTAGGTCACTTCAGTCCAAATGCACCTACTTATGTTCATACTGATGCGTCCAACATCGGCATAGGTGCAACACTTGTCCAAGACATCGGTGGTGAAGAGAAGGTGATCTCATATTTGAGTCGTACCCTAAGTAAAGCGGAGCAAAATTATTCAACCACTGAAAAAGAATGTCTGGCCGTTGTCTGGTCAATGTCAAAATTACGACCCTACCTTTATGGAAGACACTTTAAAATAGTAACAGACCATCACGCCTTATGCTGGCTCAAAAACTTGAAGGATCCAACAGGTCGATTGGCAAGATGGGCATTGAAAATTCAAGAATATGACTTCGATATAATACATAAATCGGGAAAGAAGCATCTGGACGCCGATGGCTTATCTAGGGGGCCCTTACCAGAAACTGATTGGGATGAGGATTTTGAAAGGCTATTTTTAAATCAAATAACAGACGAAGAGGATAAATTTATCGAAAGTGTTAAGAAAAACCTTAATGGAAGCAGGCGATCAATTGCGCAAAACTTTAAAGAAGAAGATGGATGCCTCTTTAAGAAAAACCCGAACCCTGAAGGCAGGGCGTGGTTGCTTGTGGTTCCAGAGAATAAAAAGAGAGAAATTATGAAAGAATATCACAATCATATGTCGAATGGCCATCTGGGCGTCGCCAGAACCATGTACCGAATAAAGAGTAAATACTTTTGGCCATCCATGCTAAAGGATGTCTCAGAATTCGTTAAGACGTGTCACCTTTGCCAAAGTAGGAAAGGCTCAAACCAATTACCTTCTGGACTACTACAGCCCATCCCCCCAGCCAACTTTCCTTTCGAAAGAATTGGAATTGACTTTGTTGGTCCACTACCATCTACGAAAAACAGGAAAAAATGGATAATCGTGCTGACGGACTACTACACTAGATATGCAGAAACAAGAGCAGTCTCGGAAGCAACAGTGAAAGAAGTTTCTTAATTTCTAGTAGAGGATATTTTTCTTCGGCACGGAGCCCCACAATATCTTATTAGTGACAGAGGCTCTCAATTTACCAGTAATTTAATGAAAGAGGTGATGAAAACGTGCAAGATTAAACATTGCTTCACAACGAGCTATCATCCCCAGACTAATGGATTGACAGAGCGGTTAAATAGAACATTGATCAATATGCTCAGTATGTATGTGAACACTGATCAGAAAAATTGGGACGAAATACTCCCATTCATCACTCACGCTTACAATACTACAATTCAGGAAACCACAGGATATTCTCCCTTTTTCCTGATGTTTGGAAGAGAACCCACGTCTCTTTTGGACGACAGGAATATCTCGGTGGACATTGACAAAGATGATTATGATGAATACATAAAACATCACTTAGACAAAATAAACAGAACAAGAAAATTAGTTATTAACAACACAATAAAGACTCAAGAAAGAATGAAAACGAACTATGACAAGAAACACATGGAAAGAAGCTACGAACCAGGAGAATTAGTAGCAGTTTGGACACCAATTAGGAAAATAGGAAAGTGTGAGAAACTATTGAGAAAATATTTTGGCCCATATAGAATATTAAAGAAGCTGTCTAACGTAAATTACTTAATTGAGCCAAAAGATAATCCTGGCCAAGACCCATTGATTGTCCATGTCTCAAGACTCAAACCCTATTTTGAGAGAATTGATGAGGTAACTCACGAGGACGTGACGACCTCTGGAGAGGGGGAAGTGTTACATCATGATTAATGGCGTATTTCTTATATTATTTTTAATATATTTGAAATTTAAATTATATATTTATTTATATTTATATAAAATATTCTATGATATTTATTTAAAACACAGATTATTTAGATTGTCATCATTTGTATTTAGGTACACGTGTGACTTCACTGCTCTCTTTGATGTGAGAAAATAAAAAAAAGGATTCTGGTGGCTACTTAAAGAAGACTTATCTCGTTATTCCCTTTTATAAATTTGTAGGATGGTTGAAACACGCTCTGGTAAGATGCAAGACCCAGCACAGGAGAGAATCCAGGCTGAAGAGTCTGCCAAGCCGCAACCTGGTGCAACAATATATAAATAAAATTAACTCTGTTGATTTTTTTTGTATTTAATCGATAACAGCGAATTTACGCATGTTATAGTTAGGAAAAATATTTTAATGTTAAGCAAAACCTGCTCCATCTCGTTTTACATAAATGTTGAAAATTTGGTCGAAATTGATGCATTGTAACGAAAGTTTTTAGTGAACAACACTTATGAAATTTGCATTTTATTAATATAGACAAGAATGACATCCACGGCAACAATTTATAATTGTAACGAATAGTATTTGAATAAAAGCATTTAATCGGGTAAAACCCGGGCGTTGCCCGGGTCATTCGTATCTACTTATATATTTGCCTTATTCTGTCTGTTTGTTTGTCTGAAGCTCACGGATGGGATTTTTCATAACCATCGGTGGTTCAGTGGTAGAAAGCTCGCCTGCTACGCGGGCGGCCCGGGTTCGATTCCCGGCCGATGCATTTTTTTTTCTTTTTTTTTACAATTTTTAAAACTCATTTATATATTATACAAGAATGACATCCACGGCGCCAATTTATAATTGTAACGAATAGTGTTTGAATAAAAGCATTTAATCGGGTAAAACCCGGGCGTTGCCCGGGTCATTCGTATCTACTTATATATTTGCCTTATTCTGTCTGTTTGTTTGTCTGAAGCTCACGGATGGGAATTTTCATAACCATCGGTGGTTCAGTGGTAGAATGCTCGCCTGCCACGCGGGCGGCCCGGGTTCGATTCCCGGCCGATGCATTTTTTTTTTTACAATTTTTAAAACTCATTTATATATTATACAAGAATGACATCCACGGCGCCAATTTATAATTGTAACGAATAGTATTTGAATAAAAGCATTTAATCGGGTAAAACCCGGGCGTTGCCCGGGTCATTCGTATATAATAATTGTATAAACGAATGCAAGACAAAATCACCGCGAATGTTTCTTTTTTTTAAGGCAATTTCTTTTTAAGGCAATTATCGTTATTTATCGTTAATTTTCGTTTCGATTTTATTGAAAAAAAAACGATATGGTGCCTTTAAAAATGATCTTTATTACTATGCAGTTTTCTATTTAGTCAATATACTAAGTTCATGTTGCAAATGTAATTATCTCTATCGATTTAGTAGGTGAAATGCAAAAAAAAAATCGACATGATGAAATCTTTATGAAAATTCACACTTTTATTTTTATATTTTCAAAACACACACAGTTTGGGGCGGGACGTTTCACAAGAGAGACATCCACGGCGCCAATTTATAATTGTAACGAATAGTATTTTAATTAAAACATTTTAAAAACACACAGTTTGGAACGGGACGTTTCACAAGAGTGACATCCATTGCGCCAATTTATAATTGTAACGAATAGTATTTGAATTAAAACGTTTTTAAAATATATACGCACTCGGGTAAAACCGGGCGTTGCCCGGGCCATTCGTCTAGTATATATATAAAAGTCAATTTCTGTCTGTCTGTCTGCCTGTTTCGCGATAAACTCAAAAACTACCGAACCAATTGCTACCAAATTTTGCATGTCGCTTTTTATAAACCTGAGGAAAATTTTCGGCTGCATTTTGATTAGTATTTTTGGCTATTTCTTTTTTTAATTTGAAGAACTTTTTTTTACGCGGAATAATCCGGAATGGAATGAATACCTAAATAAGGCCATTTTTTTAAAGCATCGGTGGCTCAGTGGTAGGGCCTGCCACGCGGGCGGCCAGGGTTCGATTCCCGGCCGATGCATTTTTTTTTTACAATTTTAAAAACTAATTTATAAAAAATATAATATAAATATATTTTATTATATCAACTATATTAATTAAATCAAATACTTAAACACTAATATAATACAATTTTTGCCATCACACACACTTTTTTCGTGTAGTTTATGTGTTACTTCTGTATTGCTATTCTATGGCACTTCTAATTTTTATTATAGATATACTTTTAGTATGAAGGAAATTGCACCCAAGGGATTTCTCGGGCGAAGCCGGGTCATTCGCCTAGTATTATATAATCTAAAAACTCAATTATTTTATATTTAAAAATACATATGTCATAATATATGCTCTTCCAGGATTAATAAAACAATCCAACAGCCAACGAGAGAGAGATGGGCAGCTAAAGCTAAGAAAACTAACTTACGGCCATTTTTTGGCCACATTCCTGAGGGGGGCGTCACCACCTGGCGACTATCTTTTGTTAACCCCGCTTGTGTACACAGGGAAAAACAGTCATTCAGCTGATAACGACTCACTCGCCACGTCTTTCTCTCTCGGCTGGCTGCCTGGATTTTTTGCTCTAACAACTCGTCGTGTGATTATTTCTCTCCTCAACACATTTACCACTATATTGTCACATTAAAAGTCGACAGGATAAGACCTGGCCGGGAAGCAAATCCCTCATATACCGGAGTATGAAGAAACAAGAAGCCAAGCCACGATGATCGGCCAAACCCAACTCAACTGTAACCACTCCTCTTCGAGCCCTCAACCCCTTCTTCGCCAACCTTTGAACCGTGATCCGAAGAAGTATTCACCTACGACGGAGATGGAGCTGCCACACACTTCTTCCAGCACTAGATCTACCCAAGAACGACCACCGTGCCAGAGCAGGACACCTTCCATCATCATGGACAAGACTTCGCCATATCCCTGCCGCTACTGTGATGTACAACACTGGTACGCTCAGTGTCACAGACAGAACTCTCCCGAATCTCAATGAACTTACCTGCTCTCTAAACCAGCATAACCTGTAAGTGAAATTGTTTTTACCCCTTCCATTCATTCTTTAAATAAGTCATTCCTTGTAAATTGTCCCAATATTTAGATAATTAGCTCCATTTATTCTCTCCATGTCTATTAACAATGATTTTATTCTCCATACTATTTATCGAGATATTTGTAACTCATTTAATTTGTTACCTTACCAGTAGAATTTAACAATCGTTATTTTAATTAAATAATTTCAATTTTAAACGTAACTCTTAAAAAAAAAACTCTTAAAAAAATTGGAATTCTACATATTAATGCTTTACGATTTTTACTATTAACAATAGATTTTTCATAATCAAATTATTTATAAAAATATGCCTCCAGCACCTAAACTTTTGTATAGACCTCTCCTACTTGTAAGCACGGCTCACGAAAAATATTTTTTTCCCTAATCGATTCAAAATTCATCCTGTAATTCAGACGTCGAAGATTCCAAACACCACGTGAGCCTTGCTTACACCCAACCCTTGGTGACTCTTATCTATCTTCCCCTTAATGCCCCTCTCATTCTTACAACTTTGTTAACTTTATACCAGCTCAGGACCTTTATAGAGAATTATTGATTAATCAATTATCGAACTTCTATATTGTCATTTCAAAATCCTAACCTTCGCCCTTCATTTATGATAATTTATTTCGTAGTTCATCTCTAGCCTATCCACCGACCCACACCATCTAGCCAATGGTGTGTTCGTCACAGGGTGCAGATTGACTAACTGCTAGATATTTATCAACCCCTTTTTGTTCGCACTTGAACAACCTGCATCGAGCGACACAGTTCGCTTCTTCTTCTCGCGCCACACGTTCGCCACACGGACCCTGTCTTCAAATCTATGTTTGTCCATTGTCCAAACCAGCACGATATCGCCTACCTCCGATATTTCCCACGGAGGTACGTTAAACATCGTCGCTGATTTTGTCCGGTCCGTCATCATTTCGCGCAGACATGGGTCTTACTTTCAACCCACCGCGAAATCATCGCCTTGCACAAGCTCCCACGACGGCTCAAACACCTCGTGTCCGAGCAGCTTGTCACTTGTAACGGACAACGCAGTCCTCGTCCCAATTTTTGGCACTGTGCGCGCATACTTTCCGCAAATTAAATATAAGTCCGTTCGACTTCCTCACCTACACACGGGACTTTTCCCCTCGGACTCGCTACACAAGTAACTACATAGATAAGTTAGATTGGCCCAGGGCAAGTCTCCCCTCGCTCTGTTCGCCGAGGTTCTAACATTGTATGTAGTTTTATATTCACCTCAGTCCTGAGCTCACACAATTGTCAACCTCAATCTCATTTCTCGTACTATACACTTATAGCATACGTGGCAAGGATAAGCCCATGACAAGTGTCCCCTTGCCATGTCCGCCTGAAAAATATCTTAAAGTGTAGAGTTCCCCAGTCTTAATGATCTTCAGAATTTCATCATATCTATGTGACTCTTCTTCTCGTTGTTCACACTCCTCCATATCACTTCCCTTATAGTACATTAGATTTTGTTGTATATAGCTTTTTATAACCTTGATATTTTCAAAGATTTCCTTAAATGTCAAACTCCCCGGTGTTGTAAAACTGCTTGTAAATAATATTTATTTGTGTACTATACAATATTTTATTTACATAAAACTATGCCACCATTACCTTAACTAATTTTAACTGTAAAATTATTTTCTCTATTCCTGGCTTCTCCAGCTTTAAATATACTTAAACCATGTTCAGCCTTCTTCAACGGGAGCCATATGTCATAATATATGCTCTTCCAGGATTAGTAAAACAATCCAACAGCCAAAGAGAGAGAGATGGGCAGCTAAAGCTAAGAAAACTAACTTACGGCCATTTTTGGCCACATTCTGAGGGGGGCGTCACCACCTGGCGACTATCTTTTGTTAACCCCGCTTGTGTACACAGGGAAAAACAGTCGTTCAGCTGATAACGACTCACTCGCCACGTCTTTCTCTCTCGGCTGGCTGCCTGGATTATTTGCTCTAACAACTCGTCGTGTGATTATTTCTCTCCTCAACACATTTACCACTATATTGTCACATATATATATTTTATTTTTATTCATGGATAATTATACTTTTTTTATAATCGTTTTTAGAATGACTTTCAGTTTTGTAAATATGCGTAGTTAACATATGTTTTATAAGTCACTTATATAGAATTAACTTTATCAATTCTTTATAATTGTGAAAATAACTAATGTGTTATATTTTTCAAGTGATTAGAAATAAAAAAAAACTTCTTGATAGTATATTATTATATTTCTTTTTTCACGACTGCACCCTCAATCCATTATCTTATCACTCCTTTATCTAACAACAAATATATTATTCATAACATAGATATGTCGTAGCTGTCGTGGTCGAATGGAAGGGCGCGACCGTTGTGCAGGTATGCGTCAAAAAATAACTTGTTCGACACTCGTGAGCGTGCGCTCACGCGGCGGAGGCGTGGCCTTCGCCCGGCCTGCTGTCTGCCAGATTTATTTTGTAGATTTATACATGGATGAATTTGTATTTACAATTTAACATAATAATTATGGTGAAAATAAATTATACATTTTGGATATTATACAAATTATGACATATATATATATATATATATATATATATATATATATACAGGGTGATCCAAAAGTCCCGCACTATTTTAAAAATTAATAACTCCGCGAATATTTGCGCTAGAGCAATGCGGTAAACACCATTGTGTTCAGGATGCAATGGGATTTTTTATGGCAAATAATGAAAAATTCGAAATTGATTTTAGTTACAATTTTATTCGCCAGATGGCGCACTACCAGAATCAGAGATTCAGCGGCCAAATTGTTTGATAAATTGAAAAATATAACTGATCGACACGTATTTTTCCTTTTTGAATACCAGGAAAGAACCCTAATAACATCAAATAACAAATTAATAAAACACCACTTCGCCAAAAGTATGAAGAATTGGTTAACAATTTTTAAATACAATCAGAGATATGTAAAATAGGTAAATGCAAATTAAAACAAGTAGCAAAAAAAAAAATGATATTTTAGATACGGTTTGTGTTTCCGAAGATAATAAATTTCTAATATTTTTTTAATTCAACTCTCTCTCAGTATCGATTATATTTATTTTAATTCATTTGAAAAATATGTATCTATCTCTGATAATTTATTTTACTCTGGAATGCCGTTGTTGTTGTCGTGTCCAATAAATTGCCTCCGATGTATCCATGCATCTCCATCACAGCAGCAGCAATGTCCACTATCTTGGGTGTGTAAAGCTGCTGCTCTGGGTCTATGTCAAATTCCTGCAAGGCTGCGGCCATTGCTGGCTATGAGAATATGTGGGTAGGTGTAAGTTCCACACCAGGACAATTGTTGCATGCCCTATAGGTTATTGTGCCATCTGGATGTATTGTCCTTCCTTTATATTGTTTTGTTCTAAGTCTTGTTATAGTTTTTGTCATTTTTCTCTCGGGGTTTATTTCGCATTTTGATCTTTTCTTATTTATTGTTCAATTATCTTGTATTTTGACAAAGAATCAGCGTCAAATAATGACATTTGTTCTTTCCTTTGGCTCAACTTTCTGGCTTCCTTTGCCAATTCAGATGCCATTTCATTACCCCCGATCCCAGCATGGGCAGGGATCCATTGTAGAATGCAGTTATTCTCCAATGATTCCAGTTGGGTAAGTAACGAGTGTATTTTCCGTGTGATTTTAGTATTGCCCTTCTGAATTGCTTCTAGAGCGGATATGGAGTCGCTGTATATTAAATTTCCTTCTGCTTGATGCAGGGATTGTTGGTTAAGGCATACATCAAGGGCTTTCCAGATAGCCGTCAGTTCACAAGTGAAGTTTGACGAAATCTGTCCTGCTCCTTCTTTGATTTTGATGTGCGTTCCATCTTGCAGTATTATGTTAATTCCGGCCCCTCCATAACTCAGGGTAAGGTCTGAAGATCCATCTGCATATGCTGT